AAGTTCATGTTTCATATTCATAACAGCGTTTGTAAGAGCAGTGTTTCAACAACCAAAATCTAAATGTGCTTGACAGCACTGAACTTTCGCTGATGTCCAACATTAACTACTTATGGCATGCCCAGTCATGAAAACTAGCATATCAGCATCATGCATGAAAGCCTGATACGAGAAGTTGATTTTATCAGCGAACCGTGAAATGGTTCTTGGTCCTAGTCTCATCGTTTCGCCCGCGGTGAGGAAACAACGAAAAATTATGGATCACGTGACATTAGGCAAAACGGTGGAGTGCATCCTCCTATGCCACTACTTGACGAAGACTATGTATGCTTGTCCTGGACTCAAGAATACATAGAAGGAAACTTCATCTGCAAAACCGCTTGGAGCTAACAGGAGCCACTTACCGTCAATATTAGTCTTAAAAAAGCATAATCAAATCATATTACCATAACATATATGCAAACGATGATCAACTTCTGATACAGACCAAATATCCGAATTATGAGTGATTGATTATCCTAAAATTATCAAAATACGGAAATGTATGAAAGTCCCTTCGCACCTCCTGGATGGAAAAGTCAGGATAAATCTAATCAATAGTATTCACTTGTCCCTTATGAGAAGGATGCATTCATCTGATGGTTTCATTGTCATAAAGCTTTATACATGTCAGATCATGCAGGATCACTAAATACGGATCAACTTGACAGAGCATGTTCGTAACTGATGTGCTGAACTCTTTCAAACTCTGAGTATCACGACATTTCGTATTGCAGCCTCGCTTCTAGTTGTCATGGAAGTGGAAAGACTATGACGTCATTAATAACTTATTGTTTTGCTCTATATCACCAAGGTGTTTCAGCGATTTACTTAAAAAATATGTAATACGCATTATCGATCTATCTTCAAAGGATATAGCGCACAAGCGATTCACAAAAACTTGTTGAGCAAAAATGTTGTACTTTTATTATAGTGCATCATAAAGTTATCGGATCACATTAAGCATTTCAGAAGACGAATTGTGTTTTTTCGCACCCTCTTAACGGCTTCTTCAAAACAAAATGAATACTGGCGAAGATATTGCCACGAGGCGACTTATGTTGATGGTGACTTCCTATAGAAATGATTGAAGAAACTGCAAAGGTAATAAACCCGGCGAAGGCAATACCTCTCTTAAGAAAGAGAGGTGAGCTTCCGAAAATACTTAGTGTACACTTAAACGATTTGTGCTAAAATTTTAGCTTTCAACCTTTAGCATTACTCCTCATCGAATGATTAACGGTGACGTGGCAATGTTCCATGCTTAACAAGCGCTAAAAGAGCGAAGATCTCCAGTTCCAGATTTGCCGTTCTGCACCGCCCACAATACCGCCTATACGTAAGAAAACTGACCAACCGCAGCGGCCGCTCCAATAAACGGCGTCGTGATTGGTCGCGGTTGAAGCGTACAGCGAGGGTGCAAAGCGACGGCGTCAACGACAGCCATGCAGCCGGCC